GTCGTTTCAATTGTTTGAGTCTTTCATCAGAATTATCTCCAATCCATCGGTAATATAATTGTAGTAAACGTTTAATACCAATAAAACTGCAATAAATCATATCATTATATCAGACGGACTTCAAGACAACGACAAAGACTCACATAAAAGGAGAGATAATGAATGGCAGAAACCAAACAATATTTTGAATGATATTCTCTTTGGAGTAATGAAAAACCAAATAAAATCTATAAAAGATTAATACAGAGATCGTGTAAAGGATGACAAACGCGGCGAAGAAAAGACAAATGCAATTCTTCTCCCGTTTTGAAGAGCTATCTTTCAAGTCTTCAATCGCTTCGATCTCATTATGGATGTCCTCTAAGAGGTGTTTGGTGTCACGTTTGGCCTGAAATCATACCATATATACAATCAATATGTTATCTATTTGTCAGTTATTACATTACAAACAATTATAGTAATCACTAATTATTTCTATTCAACACAAACACAAACTTATATAACAATTGCTTTCAATTTTCATCTCATTTGAAATATATTTAAAAGTCTTGTAATAATAATAAAGCAATGAATGAATACATACTCTGAATATGGATAATAGAGAACCCATTTGTGTGGACAATATTGTCGCCGATTTGTAAGACAATATTGTCTCAAATATTGTTCAATAATAGTCTTCAAAATGCATTGAATCAATACATCTAAACATTCAAACAAACACTACATTAGATGTCATGTGTTTGTGATTCAATACATTCAATACATACCACTCTTTGGATCACAATTTTGATGATCTCATCAGTGGTTTAATAATTGTCACCAAAAGTGTGTCAAATCAACAAATTGTGAGATGTGTTGACGTGAGTGATAGGGTTTGTGTGTATATGCAGTCAAGTGTGGATCCGATGGCCAACACATCCAAAGGGTGTCCGAAGTTATAACCAATTCATTACAAATCCATTAATTAGTCATTTAATGAATCAGTAATTCAGTGATCGAGTCATGCATTCATCACAACAACTCATCCGCACATAAATCACGTCATTATATGTCAAGTGAATTGCCCACCAAATTGAACATGGTCAATGGTAAATTTACATGGTTAATTGCTATTATAATCATCACTGACAATATATTGCCATTGCATTGAATGTTAATCATTCAAACAATATTATGCTATACTTTATAAAGAAACCAATACTTTATAAGCATTCAACTAATATACTGTATTAACAAATACCGTATTCTTCCTCATAAACGCCCATGGGGTATTATGTCAATTTCTTAGAGAGGGTGGGGGTTTACCTAGGTAACACCCCATGCTATTTTGACTCAAAAATTAGTTAAATGTGAAAAGTTTAATTATACCGTATTCTTCCTCATAAACGCCCATGGGGTATTATGTCAATTTCTTAGAGAGGGTGGGGGTTTACCTAGGTAACACCCCATGCTATTTTGACTCAAAAATTAGTTAAATGTGAAAAGTTTAATTAGAAGGTAGTATGGGTTTTAAGTACTTATACATTAATTCAAATGATTAAATGTGTCTTAAATAGAAATTGTTTAAATTGAAATCTATAATTAATCA